GGATCTGGATCCACGCTGAAACTTTTTGAACTGATACAAGGTCTCCCTCTGCTGACCAGATATGGAACAACCAGCACGTTCACTGCGGTGCTGGAGCTGTGTTGATCCTGAAAGCCTGGATTAAAGTTTGAAATTTGTCTCATTAGGATCCTCTAGAACTCAGTCACCAGTCCAAGTGTTCTGGAATATCAGAGTGAGCCGCGCGCAGAGTAACATCACCGCCACTCAGTGTGCAGAGTAACATCACCACCACTTAGTGTGCAGAGTAACATCACCGCCACTCAGGGCGTAGAGTAACATCACCGCCACTTAGTGTGCAGAGTAACATCACCGCCACTTAGTGTGCAGAGTAACATCACCGCCACTTAGTGTGCAGAGTAACATCACCGCCACTCAGTGTGCAGAGTAACATCACCACCACTTAGTGTGCAGAGTAACATCACCGCCACTTAGTGTGCAGAGTAACACTACTCCCAGCTAGCCAGGCCCTGTAGTGAACACTGTGCACCTCCTCTTCCTCCTGTGTGGACACTCTCTAACCTGCCACTCAGTGTGTTAGTGTGTCAGTGTGTCAGTCAGTGTCAATCAGTGTGTCGACAGTCTGCGTGTCAGTGTGTCACCTATTATTATTGTTAATACTTTAATAATTTCAGAATTAAGGAGTCCAAGCAGCCTAGACAGGATGTGGTTTTCAAGACAACCCCTAATCCTGAAAAAGAAGAGGCCTCCTCCCAGCCATGACCTATCACCTTTGACCTGTCCCTCAGCCCTTGGGCTCCCTGCATGTAACGTCCGGCTTGCATGAAGCACTGGCCAGGGCTGCCCAGGGGACAGCTGACCACTCTCATCCCTCTGGCCCCATCTCTCCTCTCTGCCCCCCAGTCACCCCACCATCTCTGGGGGCGACACCAGGAATTCTGGTCACCCGTCCTCCTCCCCCCCGTCTCGTTTCCTCCTTCTTCTTGCTCCGTCTCTCTCGCTCCCACGCTTTTCTGTCTCCAAACATCGATTTCGCCTCTGACAGGAGTGATTTCTCTCCCATGTTTGCCTATATTTGGGGATTGTGCTTTGTATATAAATATCAATAAAGAGTTAATTAAATAACA